AGGAGTGAATGGGGTGTGCTTCGTGGAAGGGGTGGGAAGATGTGGGACAAGGACAGGAAGAGGCAGAGCGGGGATGGGGTCTGGGGGGGGAAGGTGTGGAGTGGGGGCGAGGACAGAGCAGTTTTTTCAGTCTTCCCTCATAGGTCATGTTTTCTAGACCTTTAATCATTTTTGTTGCTCTTTTCTGGACTCTCTCCAATTTGTCCACATCCTTCCTGAAATGTGGCGCCCAGAACTGGACACAATACTTTGAAGGGTTGGGTCAAGGAAACCCTTGGGACTGTCAACTGATGTGCTGAGACTACCTCTGAGCCCATTTTCTTTGCCAGTTTGGGCCTCCAGAACCCTGCCTTGTTGAGCCAGACACACCAGTCTGCTTCAACACAGACCCAGGGTCCGAGCCACGCACCCCAAAGCTGTAGACTTAACTGAAAACGGCTTAGCAAGTGCTCCTGTCTCTAGCACCCAGACACCCAGCTCCCAATGGGATCCAAACCCCAAATAAATCTGTTTTATTCTGTATAAAGCTTATACAGGGTAAACTCATAAATTGTCCACCTTCTATAACACTGATAGAGAGAGATGCACAGCTGTTTGCTCCCCCAGGTATTAATTGCTTACTCTGGGTTAATTAATAAGCAAAAGTGATTTTATTAAGTATAAAAAGTAGAATTTAAGTGGTTCCAAGTAATAGACAGAACAAAGTAAGTTACCAAACAAAATAAAATAAAACACACAAGTCTAAGCCTAATACAGTAGGAAACTGAATACAGATGAAATCTCACCCACAGAGATGTTCCAATAAGCTTATTTCATAGACTGGACTCCTTCATAGTCTGGGTCCAGCAATCACTCACACCCCCGTAGTTATTGTCCTTTGTTCCAGTTTCTTTCAGGCATCTCTTTGGGGCGGAGAGGCCATCTCTTAAGCCAGCTGAAGAAAAAATGGAGGGGTTTCCAGGGCCTTTTATATTCTTTCTCTTGTGGGCAGAAACCCCTTTGTTCTCCTGTGCAAAATCCCAGCAACAAGATGGAGTTTGTAGCCACCTGGGCAAGTCACATGTCCAGGAATGATTCAGCTTTCTGCAGGCCGAAGCCATTGTTTAGATGTTAGTTTGAATGTTACCAGGAAAGCTCAGATGTGGATTGGCATCTCCCAAAGTCCATTGTCCGTTAAGTGTTTCTTGATAGGACTATTCTCAGTAAATGCCCATTCTCAAGAAGCTGACCAAATGCTTCACTGAGGCTACTTAGAATCAAACACATTGAGATACAAGTACATAGCCAATATTCATAACTTCAAATACAAAAATGATATACACATACAGACACCATAATTATAACCAGCAAACTACAACCTTTCCATAGACACCCCACTTTACCTCCTCTGTACAAGACCTGGTGCAACCATAGGACCCTGGTTGCAATAATACAGTCTATACGGTCACAGTTCATTTCAATAATATCACAAATACAATACATGTTCAGCCCTATGTATTGTACATAGAAAAAACTGTATTCCCTTTTTAAAAATATGTGTCTGCTTTGTTTCCTCCTGTGGTGTAACTACAATACTAATGTTAATAGCAAATAATACCAATCACTTGGTGGTTTACAATTTCTTATTTTAATTTTAAAAGTTACCCTGTGCTCAAGAGTGCATTTAGCACTATGGCTCCATAAAATTCCAAATGTTATCAACAAAATCAATAGAAAGCTAGAGGAGGCTGAGGAAGTGTGAGACAACAGCCTTAAATGTCAAAGGAGGAAGCAATTGTCATTAAAACTGATCAAAACTCAGCATTTCTGTTTCACGGGATATTCTGACATTTCAGAATTTGTTTTCGTTAATTTCATCCATTCGCAATCAAAATGAAAACACATATTTTCAAATTTCCTGCAAAATAGAAATTCCAAAATAAAGTTTGTTTAGAAAATTTTGTTTTGAAAAAAAGCTCAAAAATTTCTTTCAAAATGAAATGTTTGTTTCAATTTTTATTTTATTTTTTAATTTTCCCATTATTTTATGTCATGCGAGTAATAGTAGTGAATGATGTCATATCATATGACATAATACAGTAGCTGAAATATTTTATTTATTTTGTATTTTATTTTTATTTAATTTCATTTAAAAATAAGCATTAAGGGAAACAGCTATTTAGTACAGATTGAAATATCTTAATTTCTAGATCAAAGTATCTTCTGTTTGTGTTATAATGAAACAATTTGACACTTTCGATAAGCACTCAATGTATTAATTAGCTGAGCTGCTGTTTTCAAGGTCCTTGTGTTAGCCTAAAATCATTTTTTCTAAGATAATAAAAACAGCTGCTCCTCTATAACAGTGGTCTCCAAACTTTTTTGATCATGCACCCCTATCAGTAAAAAATTTTTGAGCATGCACCCCCTGCCGCGCCAGCTCTACCATTTTCGCCAAATTAAAAAAAAAAAACGCTCGGACTCCCGCCCAAACTGACGAAGCGGAAAAAAAAAAGCGCTCCTCCTGCCGTGCACCCCCAAGGATCCTCTTGCGCACCCTCTGGGGTGCGCGCACCCCACTTTGGAGACCACTGCTCTATAATGTAACACATATATTACATACATTTCAAAATGTTTTGGTGCAGGACATTTTATCATACCTGTACGATGTTGCAGAAAAAAATCACTTTCATTGATACGGCATTTTCTGACAGAAAACTGTTTCAACACAAAATTTCCAACCAGCTGCAGTTGCAACTCCTTTGAATTCTTAAACAGAACAGATTGACTTGCACAGTGTTATGTACACACAAAGTGGCACCTGTTTAGTTAAATCAATTGAGTTTAACCAGTGGAAAACCCAATGTAGACACTCTTTTCTCTGCTAAAGAGTGGCTTATTTGGTTTTAGCTCAAACCTGTTGCTAATCAATTTAAATGAAACCAAATAATCCTGGTTTAAATTGAAATAAGTGGCCACACAGCCATTTGCTCCCGTTTAACTAAATTGGTCTTAAATCCAACATTCAGTTTAACCATTGCAACTCTGTATAACAACAAGCACCAAGGCCCACATCCACAAAGGTATTTAGATTCCTAACGTCCATACCTTTGTAGATCAGGGCCACAAAATCCAGAAAATTAAATAATTTTAAGGTAAAGATTTAGTGTCATTTTGATTGTGAGCAACATTCTATTCTTTTCTGCTCTATGTAGGTTTTTAGACCACACCCACCACCGTAGTATCAGAGCACTGGCCAGTAGTACATTAAGCAGTCTGTCTACACATTCAAAAGGGAATTTAAATACTGCTTTACATAAAAAGTCAACTCCTCCTTAACTATGGGAGAATGTAGGGTTTTCATCTCTGTGCATACACATAGATTAGATTAGATTAGATATATTTATCGCGCGCGATAGACACAGTGAGATCTAGCTAAAGCTGTACAAATATAGCTACAAAATTTGTTGGGCTAAGATGATAGCGAACTAAACTAAAGGGAGAGCTCAGTGGTTTGAGCATTAGCCTGCTAAACCCAGGGTTGTGAGTTCAATCCTTGAGGGGGCCACCTAGAGTGCTCTGGGGCAAAATCGGTACTTGGTCCTGCTAGTGAAGGCAGGGGCCTGGCTGGGGGGAGGGATAGCTCAGTGGTTTGAGCATTGGCCCACTAAACCCAGGGTTGTGAGTTCAATCCTTGAGGGGGCAAAAATCTGTGTGGGAATTGGTCCTGCTTTGAGCAGGGGGTTGGACTAGATGACCTCCTGAGGTCCCTTCCAACCCTGTTATTCTAGGATTCTATAAACTTGGCTTCTCAGGAAGAAACAAAAATAAATAGGACAGGTTGAAATATTTTCCTCAAAACATTTTCTTTTAATGAAAATGGCTTTTTGATGAGAACAGAAAATTGTCATTTTGCTTGAAAGGTTTAGTTCTTACCAAATAAATAAATAAATTATTAAATAAAAATCAGTTTGGGCATGGGGGGGGGGGTTCAGGTTTTTGCCCTTGCCCCCTTCTTCTCCATTGGGGGAAAAAAGCTGGAATGTAAAGGAAGGAGGATGAAAATCTCCCTTTCAAAAATAAAACTTACACACACACACACCCCATTCAAATGGAAGGAATTGTGGGGTTGTTGTTTTTTTTTCATTCCCTTCAGAAAAACACACAACATTTTTGACCAGTTCTGCTCATAACATGAATCAGCAGCCTCTGCTCAGGCTGGAGTTAAATCACTTCGCTACAAATGTTTGCGGCCACGTGGGGGGGGGAGGGGGGGGGAAATAGTTGTTAAAATGCAAGATAAACATAATTGAAAGCAAATATTTCCTGTGTACAGTAGGAACTAGCTTCGGAACCAGGCCAGCGAAACATACAGGTCACTGCCCTGCCATAATGTATGGAGGCAGGAGGGGCAGAAGGCTCGTTAGAAACAAATCCCTGGAAACGGGGCTTGGGTTTATCCGTGGGGAAAGTGACTGGATAAACAAGCCCCCAGGCAATGCCTAGACATTTTAACCACAAGCTGTCTTGCAAACAGCTTTACAGCACCGGGGGCGATTTCCTGGTCGCGCAATAGCCCTGCCCAAGTGCCTTTCTCCTGCCCTATACTTTTGGGGGGTTGGAGCTTTGAAGGCAGTGCTGCCTAGGTTGGCTTGCGCTCCGGCACCTGGCTGCAGAGGGAGGGAGGGCGCTCCTGGGGGGTTGGTTAAAGGAAGGCTGGGCAATACCTGGGGGTCAAGGGGAGTGGTGGATGGGAGGCAGCCGGGCTGGGAGCTCCCGGCAGGATGGGGAGGAGATGAGAGAAGCAGGGGGCGGTTATGGGGAGGTGGCAGTGCCAGCTAGGGGAGGAAAGGGGGCTGCCTGGCGGAGGGGGCTGCTGGATCGAGGCTAATGGGCAGGGGGCGCTAGCTGGAGGAGGCAGCGATGCTTGGGGCAGGAAGGGGAGCAGCAGGAGGGGGCAGAAGCCAAGCCTGCGTCAGCAGCCCTCCCCCGGGAAGGGGGTGTTCCCCCAAAAGGGGCTCGGGACCGCTCCGCAGCGCGCCACGGGCACCACTCGTGTCTAGGGAGACTGGGGCAGGCCCCGAGCGGCAACCCCCCTGCAGAAGCCTGGCGCTGGGCTCGATCCTCCGACTCCCTCCCCTGGAGTCTGAGCCCAGGTGGCTCTGGCGGGAGAGGATTCCAGCCGTTTGCTGCCCCCTAGCGTTGGACAGGGGCCTCTCTCCTGCCTCGGTAAACGCTGAGCGTCGACTCGGTGCAGCTGCAGCAGGGGGTAGCGCGGTATATATTTAGCGGTGTGGTTGCCTCTTTCTTTAAAAATGCCCCGGAGTGGCTCCTTCCCCCAGCGCTTGCCCTGCAGAGAAGGAGTTTTTTGCATCCTCCTGGCGTGGAGCTGGACCGGATCCTCGTGGATGTCAGGCTCTGGGATCCCTTTTCTTTCCAAAGTAACAACTCCCTCCTCTTCCTCCTGCTCCTCCAGCATCCCCCCCTCCCCGATCAGCAAGGGAATGCAACAGAAGCGTTAGGAGGAGTTTGGAGAACTGAGGTTGCCACCACCCCGGGAAGCGAGGCACAGAGCTCGCTCTCTCGCTCTCTCTCAGCCGTGCCACCAATTGAATGCAAAGTTTGAGCATCCGAGGAGCTGGTACTTTCCGCCCCTCCCTCCGCCTTAGAGCTGGGTTTTCCTTTCTGCCTCCTGGACTGGGAAGGGAGGGGAGGATGGACGTGAAATTTACAAGCGCTCTCTTGTTGCATCCGTCCGGCCAACTCCTGCATCCTCAACCGAGGCATCTTCTCGGATGAAGGCGAGCCAAGGGTACCCCATGCTCTTCCTTTCCTTTTGCTCCCCCCATCGCTTCCCGGGAGATTTGCCCGTCTGGGGTGGGCTGGAAAGCTGAGACACAACCTCCCGGCTGGGGACTTGACTGGGGGTGAGTGGGGGAGGAAGAAACTCTTTGCGGTGCAAGGGAGGGCGGCGGGGGAACATCCCCGGCGTCCCTTTCACAGTGGAGCCATCCTCCATGGAGACCGGACCCTTTTAAAATGACTTTCCCTGATCTGATCAATGCCAGCTTGAATGGGAACCGGACGGGACAGGGCAGCGCTAACCGGTCCTGGAGGGAGTGGGGGCTGCCGGGGGAGGACGCGGAGACCAATGGCACCTCCCTGCCTTTGGCCCTGGATCTCCAGGCGGTGGGCGTGGGGGTCTTCCTGGCCCTCTTCATCCTTTCGGCCATCGTGGGCAACATCCTGGTCATCCTCTCGGTGGCCTGCAACCGGCACCTGCAGACGGTCACCAACTACTTCATCGTCAACCTGGCCATCGCGGACCTGCTACTCAGTACCACCGTGCTGCCCTTCTCGGCCACCCTGGAGGTGCTGGGCTCGTGGGCTTTCGGGCGCATCTTCTGCGACATCTGGGCGGCGGTGGATGTCCTGTGCTGCTCCGCCTCCATTATGAGCCTGTGCATCATCTCGGTGGACAGGTACATCGGGGTCAAGTACTCCCTCAAGTACCCCACCATCATGACCGAGAAGAAGGCGGTGGTCATCCTCGGGGTGGTCTGGCTCTCCTCCATGGTCATTTCCATCGGGCCCCTGCTGGGATGGAAGGAGCCGCCTCCCCCGGACGAGAGCATCTGCAGCATCACCGAGGAGCCGGGCTATGCCCTCTTCTCCTCCCTCTTCTCCTTCTACCTGCCCCTCATGGTCATCCTGGTGATGTACTTCAGGATCTACGTGGTGGCCCGGCGGACCACCAAGAGCCTGGAGGCGGGGGTCAAGAAGGAGAGGGGCAAGTCCATGGAAGTGGTGTTGCGGATCCACTGTCGCAGCGTGGTGGAGGACTCGCTCTCCAGCGCCCGGAGCAAAGGGCACAACTTCAGGAGCTCGCTTTCCGTGCGCCTCCTGAAGTTCTCCCGGGAGAAGAAAGCGGCCAAGACCCTGGCCATCGTCGTGGGGGTTTTCATTCTCTGCTGGTTCCCTTTCTTTTTCGTCCTGCCTTTCGGTAAGTGAACCCCGGCACTGCGCTGTCGTGTCCTCCCCAGCTAGGTGGAGGAGCGCGACCCCGCTCGCTCTTCGCGGTTGCTCTCTGCCATGAGTAAACTTCCAGGCTTCATTTCAAGCGCTGGTTGCAATGAAAGGGGGGCGGGGTCCTTCTCAAGGGCGGAATAATAATGCTCCTCGCCAAAGAACTTCGCAATCTCTGCGCGCCCTGTTCCCCACCGCCGTGGAGTGTCCATCAGCAGCTGGCGCTAGTCTGGGTCAGACATTGACCTAAGGGAGTGGTAAAGGGGGGGGGGGGATAACACGCGTTTTATGCTGTGATCCTTCTGAAACTGCCCACACTGCCCGGAGAGCGCGGCATCATTTTGGCAAAGAGATACTGAGAGAATCAAGTTCTTTAACATGGTCTGGTCAGGAGCATCAGTGGTTACTTTGGTGTATTTCTCCCAAGTTTTGTGCTCTTGGATTGGGTTGTCCTGGTAAAGCCCTCCGGGATCAAACCTAGGACCTCTGTTGCATGAGCTAAAAGCCATATGGCCCTGAGCTAAGGCTGTGGCCGATTCATTTAACTCTAAGTGGTCTCGGTGTCACTAGATAGGACAGAACATCACACCCAGGAGGGTGTGGGGTACACTGGTCCTTTCTCAGTTCCCCATGAGTCAGGCTCCTGATTGGCAGCCCTGAGCCTCATCACAATAAGTTGCCAAAGACTAGAGCCCCTGAGCCAATGTCCGCACAGGTCAGTGGGAAGCGGCTCCTTGGCTTGGCTGGGCTTTGGATTGGGCACCATATTTGCAAATGAAGAGGGCAGACATGGGCAGAAGGCATCCTCCTCTTGACTATGGCTGCAAAAATATTGGGCTAAACCCGTGTCTGATGTAACTCCATTGCCTTCAACGGAGTGTGATGCCAGGGGGGTATTTTGGACCATGAGCCAAAGTCTTCTCTAGAATGATAGCATTTTTCTGGGCGATTTCTCATGGCTGCTACCAGTCTCTATGCTGATTGCTGAGAGACGAAACTCTTGTTTTGTCTACATTTCGCCAAGACCTTGTGATGGGCCATACTATTTATCAGGGCCTATTGAGTTCCTCATTCTCTAGCCTAGTGGTAGGAACTCCTAGATTCTATTCCTGAGTCTGCTTCTGGCTTATTCTGGTGCATTTGGCAAGTGATTCCACCTTTCTGTGCCTCAGTTTACCATCTGTAAAATGAATACAGTATAGACCCACCTACCTTAACCGGAAGATGTGAGGCTTAGTTCTGAGTGTCTGGGAAGCACTTTGAAATCCTCCAATGAAAGGTGCTGTAAAATGCAAAGCAGTATCAAGATTATCATCCCTGTGCCGCTTAGTGCATTTCCCCAGCCAGTATTCTAAGGGTTAAAATCTTTGTGCCAATATTGCTCTGGCATGCAGGCAGCCTCTGTAGTTTTGGGAAGAAGAGCTGGCAACCCCCTGCTCCAAAGCCAGGTTTCATTACCTTGGTTAGAAACACAAGTACTAGTTCACAAGGTAGGACAGAGGCATCTAGGCCATGCCAGCAGATCTTCCCCTTGGAGCAGCATAGCTAGTTCATAAAGAAAAGGGAGTTTAAATACCCCTTATTCTCTTTCAGACTCCCCAAAATATAGTTAGTGGGACAGATCCTCAGCTAATGGAAATCAAAATAGCTCCTAGAAGTCAGTGTAGACTATCTACACCAGCTGAGATCTGACGCCGCATCGTCAACCATCCCTCTCCAGTCACAGACAACTCATTAAATAAACAGCTTTAGGGAAGTCCTAAGGGCCAGGAAATCTTACAGCCATTCTGCATCGGATTTTCTCATGCCCTTAGTTATTGTTGAGGGGGTGCTGGAGGGGTCAGAATACATCCTCTTGACACTAGCCAGGCCTTTTTCCCATCCTGTTGTCATCTGAGCCTACAGGGAGGTGTCACGTGATCAAAGGCTGTGTATCTGAGATTCAGATGACACGAAACGCCTCATTGCTTATTGTAGGCAGCATAATAGCCAGATTTGTTTAATCCATTGGAAAAATCAATTACAAAAAGCATGCAGGGACACAGCCACCCCGTCGGAACACTTTTAGAAGATATTTGTGGTGGTGGGTTTGTCCCTTTTAAAAATCATTTCTGGACTTACCGTTCCTAACAGCACTTTGAAAAATTGAGATTTAGTTGAGTAACTCATGGTTTAAGGTCATAGCAGGGAGCCAAGAACTTGTGAGCTCTAATCCTGCCTCTGGCCATGTGGCCTTGGCCAAGTCACTTATCTGCTTTGCCTCAGTTTCTCTTTTGTGATGATGATGGTGCTATTTTCTCTACCTCATCAGGATGTTGTAAGGATTAATTAGCTATATTTAAGAGCCAGTTCTCACCCTAAGTAAAAGAAGAAGTATAAGAACATAAGAACAGCCATATTGGGTCAGACCAATGGTCCATCTAGCCCAGTACCCTGTCTTCCAACAGTGGCCAGTGCCAGATGCTTCAGAGAGAATGAACAGAAAAGGGCAATTCGAGAGATCCATCCCCCTTTCATCCAGTCCCACATTCTGACAATCAAAGATTTAGCATGGGGTTGTGTCCCTGACCACCTTGGCTAACAGCCATTGACAGACCTATCCTCCATGAACTTAACTAATTCTTTTTTCACCCACTTTTGTCCTTCACAACATCCCCTGGCAAGGAGTTCCACAGGCTGACTGTGCGCTGTGTGAAGAAATACTTCCTTTGGTTTGTTTTAAACCTGCTGCCTCTTGATTTCATTGGGTGGCCACCAGTTCTTGTGTTATGTGAAGGGGCAAATAGCACTTCCCTATTCACTTTCTCTGCACCGTTCATGATTTTACAGAGCTTTATCATATCTCCCCTTAGTCACATATTGCATGTTGCTCAGAGCATGGGACCGGGAGCCAGGATTTTCATTCACTGTGTGACTTTAAGTAAGCCACTTAACCCTCTCTGTGCCTCAGTTTTCTATTGCACTAAATGGATATAATGTTACTGACCTACCTCCTGGGGAGTATTGTGAGGCTTCATAGTTTGTAAAGAGCTTTGAGACCATTGGACTCTGTGCTACGGAAATGAAAAGTTTGATTATAGAAACACGAGTGGAATAAATTCAATTGCTTTGTAGTTGACATGTGGTCACAACCTTATGCACGCCCCTTAGAAGGGCCCGGATGGTCGAAACTCCGGCATTAAATCCTACCCCAACTCTTTTGCATGTTGTTAATGAGCCTAGGAGATTGGAAGCTCTACTACAGAGTTATTTCAAATAGGAAACAGAGGGGAAAGATTGTCGAACAATATCTCTTTTTAATAAACATGTTTTCTGTTTCCAGTTGGAAAGCTGGGCTAGATCCTCAGCGGGTGTAAATCATTGTCGTTCCATTGAAATCAACAGAGTGATGCCAATTTACACCCTCTGAAATTCTGGCCCTTCTCCTTGGAACGTAATTCCCAACTACGTTTGTCTTTCTCCGTTTGTGCAATTTGACAGTTTCAGTGTCAAAACGACTTTGGTGTCAGCTTCCCGGTGGCTTTTAGAGATGTTTTTCTAAATCGCACAAGTTCATTTATGGTTTGACTTTCAAAACCAGGCTGCCTTTGATTTCTTTTCATTGCGTTGCACCATTTCAAATGTGTGAATGCCTAAACAGTGCTTAGCAGGAGAGTTTTTGCAAACGTACGGTGTGGCTTTACAGACACAAATATAGCTCCTCACTGGATATAGATCAGTAGAGCTCCATTGCATTCAGTGCAGCTACACCATTTCCCACCAGCGGAGGATCGGTCCTCTGTGGAAAAGAGCAATTCTTAGTGATTAGCAGGAACCTAGCAATTAGGACTGGTAATTAACTTCCGGTGTGACCCTGGACATATCACTTGACCCTGCTGCTTACTCACCAGTGAAACAGGGATAATAGTAATTTGTTGGGGTTGGGAAGCTTAACTAATGAATATTTTAAAAGCGCTGTGAGCGCTTTGATAACTCTGCATGTAAGTGCAGTGGTGTTATTCATTTTTTGGTCCTAGACTGATCTGCAAAAATATTGCTTGAAATCGAAATGTATTCCCTAGTACCTCCATGGAGTTTTATCAGCTGAGTAACCTACACCCTTCTTGGTATTGTGATACATATCCCCAACCATACGATGCAATCGTCAAGAGTATTGGTGCAATTAATAAGAATATGTTTGCCTGGCTAATAAGGCACTTTAGGAAGCTGTTTGCCTAGCAAGGGACAAAACCCTAATCGCACCCGGAGTGTATGTTTCCCTTTCTGGGCATGTGCAGCTCCTGTTGCTAGTAATAGGAGTTCTAGGTTCCGATGGAGAAGAGAATGCATGGACTCTGTGAAGTAAACCACTGGAGTTAAACTTACTCCCTGGCTGGATATGCCATAGCACCCTTCCCATTAGCAGAGATCCAGGTGAATGCCTTTTGAGGCTAGGGGCTGGATTTCTAAAGGTGTTTAGGCTCTAAAGATACAGATAGGCCCCTAAAGACCTTTAAAACTCCAGCCCATAATCTGGATCTGATCTCAGGCCACCTGTGTAGTTCTGTATAGTTCTGATGCTCCCCGGGGTTTGGTTGAGGGGAGGCACCTCGCTACCACCTACCCTTAGCGTGAGGGAGCCTTAGCTGCGTCCTGCAGAGGTCAGTTCCCTGACACCTCTGGGCACAGGCTGCACAAGCACGCCCCTCTGCAGGTAAGCAAGAGATATGCTCCACACCCCCCAGCCCTCCAGCGTTCCCCTGGAGCGCACGTATTGCTCACCTGCAGCGGGACCATGGAGCCAGCCTGAGCTGAGAGGGGAAGGCTTCTGTTCCTGGGGCAGGGAGCTGACCCTGGGGCAGGCACAGACAAGGCTCCTTCAGGGCAGGTAGTAAATTAGGCTCACATTAATTATCCTGCTTAAAGGGCAGCGTAGCCAGCTACCTTATCCTTCATGCGTGGAGAGGGCCCATTCCTGCAGTGTTTGTTTTCTAAAAG